TTGGCAGCATGTTTAGTAGGCTACTGTTGCTTTAAGAGCTGCACGCATCTGTTTTTCTCTCAACTGTTTACTTTCACTTTAGACATAAGTTAACTAACTGTGTGTATATGTAAACTTTGTGTGTTTTTGAGAGTATTAGCGCAATCAGTCGCTAATTAAGATTACTAAGTAATCAGGTACTGTTTGACCGGCCTTTTAGTGTACGCACGCTTCAGGTGTACACGCTCTGAATAAACGCACGTCAGAACAGTACGCAAATGAAACGTTTAACCGGTGTACCGACGAAGCATGCAACCTATCAGCATTTTTTGCTATCGATTTGTGCTACCTATCTTTTTAATGGGAGGTAGCACAGTCTGAGCGGGTAGGACAAATCATCAGAACACTGGCAAGGTTTTAAAGCACACGCAAATAATGTACTTTTGTAATTGCGAATAAGTGCAGTGTCTCGTGAGTGTAACTCTACCGCTGAATTAACATTTCATGTGAATGTGTCTCGCGAGTTGCAGTTGGAGCTGGAGCCGGGAGACATAGTAAATACAGAGCATTGCTTGAGGTAGATGTTGTGTTTTGTAAGTAAATGTTCATTATATTACTAGTGTTGCCTCCTTTGTTCACTATTACACTACTGCATATATTGCATCTGACACTGGTGTTGCTTAGTTTTGTAACGTGAGCCAACACATTCGAATGTTTCACTCTTTCCGCGATAACTGCACGCAAACACACACCGCACATGTGCATGGATATCACACGCACGTCAAGCAAACGTTGGCCACATCATTCAGTGAAGAACAATGACAAGCAGCAGCTTCTAATTCGCCATTAACATTGAAGTATTCGGAGATAAAACAATGCAAGTATCGATAACAGTATCGTTTGTCTTGAAACTTATCGGTAGTCCGGTATCGACCCAAATACGTACCAGTCCAAAAAAATGCCGGTTCTCAGTACCCATCCCTACAACCAATGCATTTAAGAATGCATGACTGATTAAATACAAAACTGTGAATACTGGTTAAGAATAGGGGTGCTCCGATTGATGAAAATTGGAAAATCTATTTTTAGCGGTCAGTTTTGATATTGTGGCGCGCCACAAATAGGGATGTAACGGTATGAACATTTCACATCACGATTATAGTGACCAAAGTTATCACGATGATCATTACTATCACGATTTTGTTAAATTTAGATGAAAATGTTCAAAAAGAACTGATACACGCACTGAAAACATTTCAATAAGTTTTATATTCGAAAATCAACAAACAACAAATACAATTAGTAGCTATATGCACTTTTTTAGCATAAACATTAAATTAACATTAACATGAAGCCCTAATAATAATAATAAATCACTTGGGATACAATATATATATATATATGCAAGTATCGAGTACATGTACAGTAAATAAACATACTTTCCAGTAGGCCAACAATTCACTAAAAATGTCTTATGAAGTATTCTAATTTGTTGAGATAGTGAATTGGTGGGTTTTTGTTAAATGTGAGCCAAAATCATCACAATTAAAAGAACCAAAGACTTAAACTACTTCAGTCTGTGTGCATTGAATTTATTTAATAAACGAGTTTCACAATTTGAGTTGAATTACTGAAATAAATGAACTTTTCCACGACATTCTAATTTATTGAGATGCACCTGTGTGTGTGTGTGTGTATGTATGTATGTGTGTATGTATGTGTTTGTGATCATGTGATCTTCGGTTAGGAGATCTTGTGATGCCTTTTAAAGCAAAGTTGGGGTTGATTTCGAGTTCACATACAAACATAAATAGGATAGGCTAATTAAATTAGTCTATTTTAATGTAAGACAACATATTTTTCGTAAGTGATAGAAATATGATTTAAGACGGTAGTGTAAGCAAGTTTAGTTTGAAAACGTTTAATAGTAAATAAGACGCAATTAGACAATATTTGAATAATAATAATAATAAATATTTATTTGCAACAGCTGATGGACTGCTGAATGTTGCACGCACGCGCAGCGTTGTCAAGGTAACATTTGGTCAGTCATTCCCTTCGCCAAGGGAGTTTCAAACACTTATACGATACTGTAATACCCTGCACCCTATAAAGAACACACTTCAAGGGCTCTGCCCTTCGAAGGGAGTAGGGCATAGGGATGCTCACTTCTGTTTGGAATTCGCCCCATGTCTCTTGTATCACCGCAGAGGTCGATGCGCTCTCTCGTTTCATTCAAATGCAGCTTGCCGTCTTGTGTCTCAGTTTTTGATTGTATTGAAATGAAATCAGAGGAATTTAGTATTAATACTACTATAATTTTGCTGTAGTGATCATATTGTCCTGACGATTGATTTGTACACGGTTCATAATGGATTTATAAATAGGTAAGATTTCAAAACATTCATCTCAATTCAATATTTCATATCCCCGTAATTATATATTATTATAGGTAAACAAAACAAATCTGTGTAATAAGTTAACTATGAATATACAATACATCCCTTAAATGTCAACCTTATAGTTTGAATGTTCGTTCGTCTTGACTCAAAGCCACTTGCTGCGAACTTTTCTTCACGGAAGCTTTGCGTTAATTACAAGTGAGATAACTAAATAATTAATCAATATTTTTTTTCAATTATTTGCCCAGTTAGTTTTGATATTGAGGTAAAAGTTACCTTGCATTCGCTATATAACAGTGGGTGGTGGTCACGAAGATGCGCTGTCACTGCCTTCCGCCATTTCGTCTCGTGCAAAAAAAACAAAACATCAACAACACCGTCAACGCATTTTATCGTGAAACCGGTAATCGTTCCATCCCTACACTCTTAAAAATAAAGGTGCTTCACGATGCCATAGAAGAACCTTTTTGTCAAAATGGTTCCATAAAGAACCTTTAACATCTGAAGAACTTTTCTGTTTCACAAAAGGTTCTTTGGGGCGAAAGAAGGTTCTTCAGATTACAAAAATCTCGTGCAAAAAAAACAAAACATCAACAACATTGCATGCTGCTTTTGCATCAGACTGATGCTGCCTGGACAGGATTTACCACGAGTTTTCAAAATCGCGATAATCAAATACGGTTTTGATGATGTTTAAATTTTAAACGATAATACTAACCGTCAGGGCATTTTATCGTGAAACCGGTAATCGTTCCATCCCTACACTCTTAAAAATAAAGGTGCTTCACGATGCCATAGAAGAACCTTTTTGTCAAAATGGTTCCATAAAGAACCTTTAACATCTGAAGAACTTTTCTGTTTCACAAAAGGTTCTTTGGGGCGAAAGAAGGTTCTTCAGATTACAAAAAGGTAAGAAAGAGATGGTTCTTTAAAGAACCTTTGACTGAATGGTTCTTTGTGGAACCAAAAATGGTTCTTCTATGGCATCGCTTGAAGAACCTTTTGAAGCACCTTTATTTTTAAGAGTGTAGCCACAAATAAATCAATATGGGAAACACTGAGAATATCGAAATATAAAAAATGTAAATGAAACTTACCTGCTTGAACTCTTTTTCTTTCATTTGATCTGGGTGTCTGTCTTTAAAGTGTTTTGTTAGTTTGGTGTGTTTCCTCATTTTGATGTCGCCACGTCTCAGTGCTTTTATGAAGAGAGCGCATCTGCGCACCTTTCGGATAGCGCATCAAGAACTGGGTTGACCGGGTGCTCGGTACCACCAGTACTAAAAAAAAACCTGGTACTGTAACGTTTTAATTTTTTTAGTACCGACTTGGTACCGAAGTACCGGGTCTTTTGACAACACTAGTCAAAGCAATTATAAGTCTGACACTAGGAGGAAAAAGCCATATGTAGGATCCAGAATATCATATAAAATTCATAATGGACTCTTTTGACTTTGACCAGCAGCAAACTAGTATCACCAACGTGCTAGAAGCACTCAAAAACCCTGGCATCAATTTTGAATGCAAGCACCAGCACCACTCAAATTTTCTAAAGAAAAAAAAAAAATGCAGTGCTGCATAATAATAATTTTGTGCATGTGTTTTAGCAACCTTGATCATTTTATACTTTATCTCTTTCTGATGTGTGACATGATTTTTGGAGATATGGAGAATAAATAGAATGCTACGCACATGTGAAAGTCATGGCCGCTCTCATGGCAGTCATCTCCAGCACTGGTTAATTCCACTAAAATTGAATCAGCCCTTTTAGGAGGCAGCCTCTCTTCTGGAGCACCAGCTTACTTGCCAGACTTGTGGCTTTTATTTTTTCACTAACGCGAGGAAATTAATACAAATCTATGATGGTCCATGTTGAAGGCTTGTGGCAGTGGAACCGCTCTGTGGCTTGGCAAGATGGGAGTACTCTGATTTTCAGTGAAATCTGCTATTAGGCTATATAAACATGTGAATAATTTATTATTGCGACTAGAATTAAGAGTTAAAATTGACTCTTAAACTAGAGTAAAAAACATTGGTTACTACATTGCTACTACTCTCTGCAAGGCTTGATTCTGATTGTTCAAACTGTTTGACCTTTATACAGTTTAACAAGCATGACTAGTAGATTTTACATGCATGACATATTATTTCAGAAAAGCCTTTGACTCTTATTTTTGTATTATATAGTAGTCAACATTTGAAGTGCACCTTTCATCAAAGTTGTCCTAAAATCTAAAAACCAAAATGTGTTCTTGTCTTATGACAACTTCGATTAACTTTTTTTGATCCACTTCCAATGTTGACTACTGTATATATAAAATGTCTTTTTGTCTTCTCTGGTGAAGCATCTTGAGCAGCTTTAAAAAAAAAAATTATTCACTGCAACGGAGAAAGAGTGGTAGAACCTTCAGCAGTTTGGGTAGCCCATGGGCTAAAATTGGTTATGTAATGGCACTGGTCAAACCATTGAGCTACACAGAACTTTAAGGTCTTCAATGTGACGTCAACATGCAAGATTACAAATGTTATAAAATGATAATTGTGGCTGTTATCAATTTATGACTGTTTGTGTTCTAATGACTAATTTTTGTTCTTGTGTATCTCTGATTATCAGGAACCTGCCATCATGGGATTGCCGTCACCAGCCAATGTGCTGAAGTGAGCTGGATTTTTCCTCCGGTTTAAGCCAGCAATCATGGCGGGAATCAAGCGTGGGTACGACGGAAAGATCGCTGGACTATATGACCTGGACAAGACGCTCGGCCGTGGCCATTTCGCCGTGGTCAAACTAGCACGTCATGTCTTCACCGGCGAAAAAGTGGCAGTCAAGGTAATTGACAAGACCAAGCTCGACACGGTCGCGACTGGTCACCTGTTCCAGGAGGTCCGTTGTATGAAACTGGTCCAGCATCCAAACATTGTTCGGCTCTACGAGGTCATCGACACGCAGACCAAGCTCTACCTGATCTTGGAGCTCGGCGATGGTGGTGACATGTTTGATTACATCATGAAGCACGAGGAGGGACTGAGCGAGGAGCTGGCCAAGAAATATTTCGCCCAGATTGTGCACGCCATCTCGTACTGTCACCGGTTGCATGTGGTTCATCGTGACCTGAAGCCAGAGAATGTGGTGTTCTTTGAGAAACAGGGCCTGGTCAAACTCACCGACTTTGGCTTCAGTAATAAGTTTCAGCCGGGAAAGAAGCTGACCACCAGCTGTGGCTCGCTGGCTTATTCTGCCCCTGAGATCCTGCTGGGAGATGAGTATGATGCACCTGCTGTGGGTAAGTGTGCATAGTAACTCTGCTCAGTAATTCTGACTCCAAAGTTCAAAACAAATCAATACCTATGACGTTTATCCAAGAATATTTTATTTCCTCATTATTATTTTAGTGTCTCGAAAAACTGTTTTAGGGTTACAGTAATTTTATCATGTGTTAAGGAAGTTGTTTGCCACAACTCTCATGGTCGGTTGAGGAAACTATCTTTGCCCCCATACTAAAAGTAAGAGTTATTATCGTTACTAAAACTAAAACCATAAAAATGGATTTAATAACATTGCCTAAAATAAACATGAACTGAAATAAAGTATAGATAAATGTATTTACCCTAAACTATATGTATAACTGTAAATATAACTTATTTTGATACAATTATATTTTGTTTTGTGTTGGAGCCAGTAAAATTGTTGGCAAACTAAGGCAAGAGGAAATCTGACCTCACCAGGCAAACGGGGGAAAAATAATCAATCATCAATGACGAGCCTCAAAATAAGTTCTGGCAAATTTTGGGTCATAGACTAATATGATGAAGAACCAATACGAGCTCTGTAATTTTATGTGGTTAAAATGTCTAAGTGTGGTTAAAATGTCTAAGTGTTTTTTTTGGTCATATGTTTTTCATCAGGGTTTGAAATTAACACCTGCCAAATGCGGGTAAAAATCAGCTGTGGTGGGTAACGCTGTCAAACCACTAGCCGATTTTGTGGGTTATTTTTCATAAGTTATGTTTACTCATTAATTTCTTGGGGAAGTTCATGCAAGCCCAATCTGCGCAGGTTTAGCGCAAATACTCAACTCGTGAGACATCATGACATTATCGAGTATATTGCAAAAATAAGCGACGTGATGAAGTCTGGTTAGACCAACACAGGCTTTAGTGCGCGTGTGCATTAACAAGAGTGCGTTCTTTCACTGCATGATTCAGTCTATTAATATGCATTAAGAATGATCACAAAATTCAAGATAAGGGGGCAGAAAATTTATATATTTACAGTGGGTACGGAAAGTATTCAGACCCCCTTAAATTTTTCACTCTTTGTTATATTGCAGCCATTTGCTAAAATCATTTGTTAATTTTTTTCCTCATTAATGTACACACATCACCCCATATTGACAGAAAAACACAGAATTGTTGACATTTTTGCAGATTTATTAAAAAATAAAAATATCACATGGTCCTAAGTATTCAGACCCTTTGCTCAGTATTTAGTAGAAGCACCCTTTTGATCTAAAACAGCCATGAGTCTTTTTGGGAAAGATGCAACAAGTTTTTCACACCTGTATTTGGGGATCCTCTGCCATTCCTCCTTGCAGATCCTCTCCAGTTCTGTCAGGTTGGATGGTAAACGTTGGTGGACAGCCATTTTTAGGTCTCTCCAGAGATGCTCAATTGGGTTTAAGTCAGGGCTCTGGCTGGGCCATTCAAGAACAGTCACAGAGAGTTAGTTTTGATATTGAGGTAAAAGTTACCTTGCATTCGCTATATAACAGTGGGTGGTGGTCACGAAGATGCGCTGTCACTGCCTTCCGCCATTTCGTCTCGTGCAAAAAAAACAAAACATCAACAACACCGTCAACGCATTTTATCGTGAAACCGGTAATCGTTCCATCCCTACACTCTTAAAAATAAAGGTGCTTCACGATGCCATAGAAGAACCTTTTTGTCTAAATGGTTCCATAAAGAACCTTTAACATCTGAAGAACTTTTCTGTTTCACAAAAGGTTCTTTGGGGCGAAAGAAGGTTCTTCAGATTACAAAAAGGTAAGAAAGAGATGGTTCTTTAAAGAACCTTTGACTGAATGGTTCTTTGTGGAACCAAAAATGGTTCTTCTATGGCATCGCTTGAAGAACCTTTTGAAGCACCTTTATTTTTAAGAGTGTAGCCACAAATAAATCAATATGGGAAACACTGAGAATATCGAAATATAAAAAATGTAAATGAAACTTACCTGCTTGAACTCTTTTTCTTTCATTTGATCTGGGTGTCTGTCTTTAAAGTGTTTTGTTAGTTTGGTGTGTTTCCTCATTTTGATGTCGCCACGTCTCAGTGCTTTTATGAAGAGAGCGCATCTGCGCACCTTTCGGATAGCGCATCAAGAACCGGGTTGACCGGGTGCTCGGTACCACCAGTACTAAAAAAAAACCTGGTACTGTAGCGTTTTAATTTTTTTAGTACCGACTTGGTACCGAAGTACCGGGTCTTTTGACAACACTAGTCAAAGCAATTATAAGTCTGACACTAGGAGGAAAAAGCCATATGTAGGATCCAGAATATCATATAAAATTCATAATGGACTCTTTTGACTTTGACCAGCAGCAAACTAGTATCACCAACGTGCTAGAAGCACTCAAAAACCCTGGCATCAATTTTGAATGCAAGCACCAGCACCACTCAAATTTTCTAAAGAAAAAAAAAAAATGCAGTGCTGCATAATAATAATTTTGTGCATGTGTTTTAGCAACCTTGATCATTTTATACTTTATCTCTTTCTGATGTGTGACATGATTTTTGGAGATATGGAGAATAAATAGAATGCTACGCACATGTGAAAGTCATGGCCGCTCTCATGGCAGTCATCTCCAGCACTGGTTAATTCCACTAAAATTGAATCAGCCCTTTTAGGAGGCAGCCTCTCTTCTGGAGCACCAGCTTACTTGCCAGACTTGTGGCTTTTATTTTTTCACTAACGCGAGGAAATTAATACAAATCTATGATGGTCCATGTTGAAGGCTTGTGGCAGTGGAACCGCTCTGTGGCTTGGCAAGATGGGAGTACTCTGATTTTCAGTGAAATCTGCTATTAGGCTATATAAACATGTGAATAATTTATTATTGCGACTAGAATTAAGAGTTAAAATTGACTCTTAAACTAGAGTAAAAAACATTGGTTACTACATTGCTACTACTCTCTGCAAGGCTTGATTCTGATTGTTCAAACTGTTTGACCTTTATACAGTTTAACAAGCATGACTAGTAGATTTTACATGCATGACATATTATTTCAGAAAAGCCTTTGACTCTTATTTTTGTATTATATAGTAGTCAACATTTGAAGTGCACCTTTCATCAAAGTTGTCCTAAAATCTAAAAACCAAAATGTGTTCTTGTCTTATGACAACTTCGATTAACTTTTTTTGATCCACTTCCAATGTTGACTACTGTATATATAAAATGTCTTTTTGTCTTCTCTGGTGAAGCATCTTGAGCAGCTTTAAAAAAAAAAATTATTCACTGCAACGGAGAAAGAGTGGTAGAACCTTCAGCAGTTTGGGTAGCCCATGGGCTAAAATTGGTTATGTAATGGCACTGGTCAAACCATTGAGCTACACAGAACTTTAAGGTCTTCAATGTGACGTCAACATGCAAGATTACAAATGTTATAAAATGATAATTGTGGCTGTTATCAATTTATGACTGTTTGTGTTCTAATGACTAATTTTTGTTCTTGTGTATCTCTGATTATCAGGAACCTGCCATCATGGGATTGCCGTCACCAGCCAATGTGCTGAAGTGAGCTGGATTTTTCCTCCGGTTTAAGCCAGCAATCATGGCGGGAATCAAGCGTGGGTACGACGGAAAGATCGCTGGACTATATGACCTGGACAAGACGCTCGGCCGTGGCCATTTCGCCGTGGTCAAACTAGCACGTCATGTCTTCACCGGCGAAAAAGTGGCAGTCAAGGTAATTGACAAGACCAAGCTCGACACGGTTGCAACCGGTCACCTGTTCCAGGAGGTCCGCTGTATGAAACTGGTTCAGCACCCCAACATCGTTCGGCTCTACGAGGTCATCGACACGCAGACCAAGCTCTACCTGATCTTGGAGCTCGGCGATGGTGGTGACATGTTTGATTACATCATGAAGCACGAGGAGGGACTGAGCGAGGAGCTGGCCAAGAAATATTTCGCCCAGATTGTGCACGCCATCTCGTACTGTCACCGGTTGCATGTGGTTCACCGTGACCTGAAGCCGGAGAATGTGGTGTTCTTTGAGAAACAGGGCCTGGTCAAACTCACCGACTTTGGCTTCAGTAATAAGTTTCAGCCGGGAAAGAAGCTGACCACCAGCTGTGGCTCGCTGGCTTATTCTGCCCCTGAGATCCTGCTGGGAGATGAGTATGATGCACCTGCTGTGGGTAAGTGTGCATAGTAACTCTGCTCAGTAATTCTGACTCCAAAGTTCAAAACAAATCAATACCTATGACGTTTATCCAAGAATATTTTATTTCCTCATTATTATTTTAGTGTCTCGAAAAACTGTTTTAGGGTTACAGTAATTTTATCATGTGTTAAGGAAGTTGTTTGCCACAACTCTCATGGTCGGTTGAGGAAACTATCTTTGCCCCCATACTAAAAGTAAGAGTTATTATCGTTACTAAAACTAAAACCATAAAAATGGATTTAATAACATTGCCTAAAATAAACATGAACTGAAATAAAGTATAGATAAATGTATTTACCCTAAACTATATGTATAACTGTAAATATAACTTATTTTGATACAATTATATTTTGTTTTGTGTTGGAGCCAGTAAAATTGTTGGCAAACTAAGGCAAGAGGAAATCTGACCTCACCAGGCAAACGGGGGAAAAATAATCAATCATCAATGACGAGCCTCAAAATAAGTTCTGGCAAATTTTGGGTCATAGACTAATATGATGAAGAACCAATACGAGCTCTGTAATTTTATGTGGTTAAAATGTCTAAGTGTGGTTAAAATGTCTAAGTGTTTTTTTTGGTCATATGTTTTTCATCAGGGTTTGAAATTAACACCTGCCAAATGCGGGTAAAAATCAGCTGTGGTGGGTAACGCTGTCAAACCACTAGCCGATTTTGTGGGTTATTTTTCATAAGTTATGTTTACTCATTAATTTCTTGGGGAAGTTCATGCAAGCCCAATCTGCGCAGGTTTAGCGCAAATACTCAACTCGTGAGACATCATGACATTATCGAGTATATTGCAAAAATAAGCGACGTGATGAAGTCTGGTTAGACCAACACAGGCTTTAGTGCGCGTGTGCATTAACAAGAGTGCGTTCTTTCACTGCATGATTCAGTCTATTAATATGCATTAAGAATGATCACAAAATTCAAGATAAGGGGGCAGAAAATTTATATATTTACAGTGGGTACGGAAAGTATTCAGACCCCCTTAAATTTTTCACTCTTTGTTATATTGCAGCCATTTGCTAAAATCATTTGTTAATTTTTTTCCTCATTAATGTACACACATCACCCCATATTGACAGAAAAACACAGAATTGTTGACATTTTTGCAGATTTATTAAAAAATAAAAATATCACATGGTCCTAAGTATTCAGACCCTTTGCTCAGTATTTAGTAGAAGCACCCTTTTGATCTAAAACAGCCATTAAGGGGGTCTGAATACTTTCCGTACCCACTGTATATCAATTGATTTAGTTAATCAATATCACACAAAGAGTGCAGTTTTTTTCTTTAAAAAATCAGCATGGTTACAAATGTGATATTGATTTTTTACAACAGTTCAATAAACAATAAGATAATATCAAGAGACTATGTTTTAGACACCATATTGACTGTTTTTTGCGCTATTTCGCCTACAAAAAACATCTCAAACACAGCCACAGCACAGTTTTGCGTCTCTGAGCAACATGACGTTGTTTCGTTCCTGAATTAATCAACTGTTTAAATGATTCGGTTCAATCGCAATGAGTCCGAATCAGTACGTTTATATGGACAACAATACTCCGATTTTACTCCGATTTTAATACGATTAAGACAATACTCTGATTAAGAATCTACCATGTAAACAGAGATTTTTGATTACCTTAATCCGGCTAAAATCATAATCGAATTAAACAGAAATCGAATTAAGACATGTGGAGTATTCCTATTTTAGTCGCATTACTGAAGTGCAGAGTAGACATGTAAACACCTTAATCACATTTTTACTGTCGTGTAGGACTTTTCGCCGCATTTTGTGACAAGATACACACATGGCAGTGGTCAACCGTTTGATGGCAAATAAAAGAGCTTCAAAACCTCCATCGTCTGTATGCATGTACAAATAATTAACTGCACATGAAGCTTTCATAAAATTAAAAATGAAACACCCAAAACTGTACATGGCATCATCACGAAGACGAACTATATGTTTATACGTGAAATTCCGGAGGGGACGTCGGATGGCGTCACGTGGTGACGTAATGACATGCCAAATCATAATATTGACTTATTTAGAATAAGGCAAATAATTAGATTACTGATGTCCATGTAAACGTAGTCAGTGACTTGCTGCCACCTACTGGCGGTTTTAATTTCACAATTAAAGTATCTTTTCATTTTTATTTATAATTTCAAATATTCAACATTTCATGTTTAAAATATCAAAACATTATTTGTGCATTTGTGACTGCAGGTTAAAGTATTCCATGTCCCTCTAAGCTGCATTAACGTGTAAATGCATCTAAATGCAACTTCTGCAAAGATGAATTTTATTGATACTGATTTCATTTGTTTAGTAACAGCCTAAATGTATTAATATAATAACTGACTGATTAAGTGTAAGAATTTGACTCAAAAGATGATGCACACTTTTAGAAAAAATTGCTTTATAAAGGTTAAAATGGCCATAAAAGGTAAAAATCAATTTTAACTTATTGGAAAAGATTAATTTCTATCACTACTGTGAACTGACCACACAAAATATGAAGAATATCAAAAACTTTAGGAGTCAGCTGTCCACGGTAGTCCTTAAGATATCAGCACAATAACACACTCAGCAAAATATCGTCTAATTATCGTTATCGATAAAATCCCAGAAAGTATTGATATTATTTTTTGTCAATGTCGCACACCCCTAGTACTGACACAAAATGATTTGCAACGGTCGCTTTGTCACGCCCAGTGTAGACGTCCTCAAACTATTGGTTTATTTCTGGATTTTTTTCAAGTTATGAATGGCCGGTAACTTAAAAATTTAGTACCCAAATTAGCTGGTGAGTGAAAAAGTTAATTTCAATCCCTGTTTTTCATTATGTGACACTTGCTATCATGCCATCCGCCACATGCAAAAAACAGGCCAAATTTTTATGCTGAACATTCGTGTTGGTGTGGAAAATGGCATGAATATAGAGGGATAGTGTTTCTAACATACACAGGGCTTGCAAACTTTCAAAATCCCTGCTAGCCATCTGGGCAGGCATTCTTCAGATTTTGGTAGCCCAAAATGAATTTAACTAGCCCGGATAAATGAGACATCAGCTGAACTTCACTGTTGACAAATCAGCATGATCAAACACTTTCGTGATTGTATTTTTCCTTCAAATTGCATGTCAGGAGAGTAGAGGTGCAAAAGATCACACAACTCATGGTTCGGATCGTATTACATATTTTGAGTCACAGATCAGGTCATTTTTTTTGGATGAGCAAAAAAGTGTTTCTTTATTATTTAAAGAACACTTTAAGTACTTCGATACCACAGCAAAAAATAGGAGCATAACTAATGAAGGTCAAACATTTTTGAAGACAAGTGAACCATCAGTAATAAAATAAGAACAAATTAACACATTTCAAGCATAGATAAATGATACAATAAGGCGCGCAGAAAACAGTGCGTGAGTACCTAATTGAATTCTCTTTCGCCTCTTCATGTGCTTCAATGGTTTAAAATGCATGAATGTTTGAATTGGCAAAATGTGCAAATGATAAACTACGATCCATTTCACCGCTACAAGCAAGGGAACAACGGGAATCAAGGAAGGAATCTTATATCACTATTCATGATACATTTTGGTAGCCTAACCGAAAGATACAATAGCCCTGGAATGTCAGGCTAGCGATTTTGCAAGCCCTTATACATGCACTTGGTAAACTGTCCCAGTGTGAGCGTGGCTGATCAGTGGTTTAATAGCAGCAAAATTTATTGATTTATTATGTCACTGTAAGGCATTGCCATACTTCTGCCAAAAACACAGCTTAACCTCTTTATCAGAAAACATGTCAGAACAAACCCCTTAACCCTAGATACTCCAAATGCGGTTCTTCTCATCCGTTATTAAGAGGAACTGTCATTTGAGCTTCAAGTTCTGGATCATTAGGCCATGGATTCCTGAAGTGCGTTGGCGGATTCCTTTCATCATTGCCATGTTAGCTCCCCAAGATAATGAACGCAAGTGTGCAAGTTGATGCAGGCTGAGGTCTAACCTTTCCGAGGCTAAGAGATGGTAGAGGCGTTAGGCATGTCGGGGCATGCAAAGCCTTCAGTCCATCGACTGGCCAATACAGAGCGACAAAGGAGAGAACCCTGAGCATCTTTCAAAAGCATCTTGAACCATCAACTCACCAAAAATGAAGTTAAATACACAAATACACTTGCTACGTTTACTGCGTTAAGCTAACTGAGACTTGTTATAGCACTTGCATATCATTGCTCTTTTGTTGATTTTGATTGCTTCCATTGTCCTAATTTGTAAGTCGCTTTGGATAAAAGCGTCTGCTAAATAACTAAATTTAAATGTAAAAATGACTTGCACCTACTGATGTTATTGATTT